AGGAGGAGGGTGAGTAGGGCACCACAAGTCACTCCACACATGTGCTGTTTCACCGGCAACTGCCACATAACACCAATCTTACTACAGCTGCATTGGTTACCAATTGAGCACTGGATCACTTTCAAAGTGATGGTACTCACCTTTAAGGCCTTGCATGGTCTGGGGCCAATGTACCTGAGGGACCGCCTCACCCCCTACCAACCCCAGAGATCCCTCCATTCTGAGGACCAAGATCCATTGGAAATTCCCAGTGTCAAGACCTTGCGTCTAACAGCAACCAGACGCAGAGCCTTCACAGCAGTGGCACCATCACTCTGGAATACTCTGCCACCTGAAGTCCGTGCCTTGCAGGACTTATCAGCTTTCCGCAGGGCTTGTAAGACATACCTGTTTCGACAGGCCTTTGATTTTTGATACTGCTGTTTTTAAATTGTTTTAAATTGTTTTTAAATTGTGTTAGATTTTAGCCATTCTTGTAAGCCGCTCCGAGCCCCAGGGGAGTGGCGGCATATAAGTTCGAATAATAAATAAATAAATAAATAAAATATTCTCTGCTGCAGGTCATTTGTGGGTGCATCTACATTATACAATGGTTGCAGTTTGATGCATCCATAATTACCCTTATTCTTAACTATAAGTCGTTTGTAAGTCAGATGTTTGCAACTCAGGGACTGCCTGTACACACTTATTTTGTAGCTGTGTTGGCAGGAAATTGGAAGAAAAACAATAACAGTAGGGGCAAGCCATGCTGCAAAATGAAAAAGAATTGATCCTGACACATTCTGGAAGTAAATGGCTGGAAGCAACCAAAACTCACACTCTTGATAACTTCCACAGCAGCCTATGGCTTTTAGTGTCTTGTGTTTCATTTTCATTTTCTCTCAACTCCTCTTGGGCATAGACATGTTTTCTGATATTTGGCTCGTTGCCTTCAGTTATGGCTTTCAGGTAAAGGAATATAATTATCTTCACTTCTCTAGTTCAATAAGAGAGTTGATGCTGTGCAGGTTGTGGTCCCATTGTGCCTCATGACTTGAGAATTGAGACCGTTTGAATTGCCACTTTTTGTTTGTTTTCCACTTCAGCTTCAGTCCCCACCCACCAACCAAGGTATTTGGTGTGAATTATGAACACAATTGTATTATAACCCTATGTACTTTTTCTTTTATGCCTCTCTCTTCCTCGACTATATATATTGAAAGGAATACAAAAGACAGAAAACTTCTAAGTCTTCCATTCTAACAAAAGCATTATTCCATCTCTTAAATACCTGTCATCTTCGGCAATCACTCAACTGTACTCTGAAAATGGGTTTTAAAAACATGTTTCGGAATGTTCTGGAACTTATTTTCAAGGAATACTCCATACTGATTTGAAACTTCTGTACATTATCCCAAGAGGTTCAGGACTAACAAAGCCCTCCATAGCTACATTTAGATCTCTTTTTAGCACATCTGCATTAAGGGTGAGAATTCTATGGCCCTCCAGACATTGTTGAGTAACTTTAGTTCCCAGCATTTTTCACTATTATTTGTGTTGGTTAGGAGTGATGGGAGCTGTAACTCTGGAGGGCCCCATGACCTCCAACCCTAAGACTAGACCTCCATAAACTTCATCAATATGCTTTTTTATTGTTATAGTAATTCTTTCTTATATCATATATGAATACACTAGCTGTCCCCTGCCAGGCGTTGCTGTGGCCCAGTCTGTTGATCTGGAAAATAAAGTAATGAGAAAGTGTTGGTTTCTAATATATGTAATTTCTTTATGCTTGTGGGTAAACAGTATTTCTTGCTGTTTCTTTGTCAGTGTTGATGTGGAGAGTGTCTGGTTTGCCTACTCTGGAACATGCAACATATAATTGTCCTTCTTTAGGGGTCCCTTTCAGATCTATGATACTATATCTGTGTGTGTGAATCATATCTATCTATATCTATATCTATGGCTGGATGGCTCTTTGTCAGGAGGGCTTTGATTACGTTTTCTTGCCCTGGTGAAGGGAGTTGGACTGGATGGCCTTAAGTATGGGGGTTCTGTGTGGGAAGTTTGCCCCAATTCTGTCTTTGGTGGGGTTCAGCATGCTCTTTGATTGTAGGTGAACTATAAATCCCAGTAACTACAACTCCCAAATGTCAAGGTCTATTTTCCCCAAACTCCATCTGTGTTCATATTTGGGCATATGGAATATTCGTGCCAAGTTTGGTCCAGATCCATCATTGTTTGAGTCCATGGTAGTCTCTGGATGTAGGTGAACTACAACTCCCAAACTCAAGGTCAATGCTCACCAAACCCTTCTAGTGTTTTCTGTTGGTCATGGGAGTCCTGTATGCCCAGTTGGTTCAATTCTATCATGCTATTTGATTGTAGGTGAACTATAAATCCCAGCAACTACAACTCCTCTATCTATCTATCTATCTATCTATCTATCTATCTATCTATCTATCTATCTATCTATCTATCTATCTATGGCTGGATGGCTCTTTGTCAGGAGGACTTTGATTACGTTTTCTTGCCCTGATGAAGGGAGTTGGACTGGATGGCCTTAAGTATTTTCTGTTGGTCATGGGGTTCTGTGTGGGAAGTTTGCCTCATATTTGGGAATATTATCATTGCCAAGTTTGGTCCAGATCCATCATTGTTTGAGTCCACAGTGCTCTCTGGATGTAGGTGAACTACAACTCCCAAACTCAAGATCAATGCCCACCAAACCCTTCCAGTATTTTCTGTTGGTCATGGGAGTTCTGTGTGCCAAGTTTGGTCCAATTCCATCATTAATGGAGTTCAGAGTGCTCTTTGATTATAGGTGTACTATAAATCCCAGCAACTACAACTCCCAAATGACAAAATCATAATGTTTTGAGTGATGGTCACTCCTTGTGTTGTGAGACGTTTTGTTGCCAAATTTGGTCTGATTTTGTTCAATGGTTCTTTTGTTTTTAAGGTACTCAATATGCACTGAGCATTTTTATATAGATAGATATATTCTTGACTATAAGAGCTGTTCAACAGTAGAACTCTCTGCCTCGGAGTGTGGTGGAACTCCTTCCTTGGAGGTTTTTAAACAGAGATTGGATGACCATTGGTCAAGGGTGCTTTGATTGTGCTTTCCATTCAAGGCAGGAGGTTGGCCTCTATGATTTCTACAGGGAAATTTAAGTGAGTGACAGATAGGGGGAAGGGCACAGAGAAGCTATGGAGTCTTTTGGAGGACACGGGACTTTGTTTTTTTTTAAATAATCAGATTAAGTAGGATACAAGATGCTTTTACTCCTTTTAAATGTATCCTTTCTTACTTGCCCATTTCTTATTTGCCTGTTTATTTGCTTGCTTGTTTTGGATACAAATTTTCCAAGTTTAATTCCTGAGTCTTCTGGCACAGAATGAAGCTTCAGTGAATTGCTGCTTGACCCTATGTCTCCAGACATGAAGATAAATCTCAGAGTGAGAAGCATTCAGTGAAAAAATGTGATTTCTGAGTGGAAGTTGACTTTAAAGCTGGCATGAGGGCCCTCAATGTTGGTGTGTTCAGTTTGTGCAACATAAATGCACTGAAAAAGCATGAAGCAAAGGGACAGGCTTATTGTCACAATGCCAGGGCTCTGCCTTATTCAGAGGCAGAGATGAATCAAACAAACACCTAGTTTGTGTTAAACAGTTTAATTAAAACAGCACTTACTTTCTGGCTGTTTTACTAGTCCAAAATATAAAACATAAAGATAGCACTCAGCCACAGAATAAACAAAAACGGATAGCAAAAGCTACACCGTAGTCAAAGGGTCCAGTCCAGTGGTCAAACGCCGAGAATTTAATACACAAAGTCGACCGTAGTCAAGAGCCAGTCCAAAGATTTAAGATTCCAGGATTTTAAGAGTTCAGGAGACAGGTCAGGATACCAAAAATCTGGACCTGGGGGAAAACCAGTAGCATCCACCAAAATATGACAAATACTTTTCTCCAAAAGATCATTTCCAAGGCTCGCTCCTTATATCCAGAAACACCCAGCTGCAACCTATCTCTTGCATACCTCCACCCTTAATTGCTTTCACCCATGAACTCTTACTTACAGATTACTAAACCCTTTAGAACTAATACTTACATTAACCCTACCATCACCAACCACCATCAATTGCAGAACATAATACATGACACTTATAAGCTTTCTTGTGCCAGCACCACAAGGTATGGGGAGGTGGAAGGGGAGTCCACAAGAATAAGCACTGGGTACTTAAGTTTCTCTTTTTCCTAAATGGAACATAAGAAGTCTTAAGAAAAACCTCTACCTCAAAGGGAGGGAAGGAAGTAGTGTCTCTGTATTTATCATTTAATTGGGTTATGTTATGTTTGAATGTTTTGTGTGTGTCCTTTCTTTTTTGTATCTTATGGTGTTGTGTGCTTTTCTTTCTTTCTCTCTGAAAATCAATAAAATATTACAAAAAAAGAAATAAGCAAGATACGTTACCGCAGTTATTGTTGGTGAAAGTGATATAAAATTCTCAGCTACTCTGATGCCTTTGACAAAACTACAAGTCCCACAATTCCATAAGGTGTAGCCATTGTAATTGAAGTAGAATCATACTTCTAGAACTCTGCACTGTGAAATGATTCCATTTGGGAGATACATTTGATTATATTAGATAATTTCTCAACCCCCTGGATATAGAACAGATTCACCATCCATGAAGACATTAAACATAAATATACACGGAAGAGTCCTGTTGGATGAGATGAACCACCTATCAACTCTGTTTCATGAAGTGACCCACAAATGTTCTCAGGAAATTCATAAATGGAACATGATGACAATAGCTCTCTCCTACTAGTAGTTCAAGGTTAATGGCCTCCAGATCCTGAAAGTAGCCTGTTTTAGCCATTATGGCCAGTAGTGGATGGTAGCTTCATCCTCCATGGATTTGTGTAATTCCTTTTCAAAGCTGACCAAGGGATTAAAATAATATATTATAAGACAGTCATCAACAGTAATTAAATAAAAAGTCACTTACCCTGGGATCTTTTTCTAAGCGAAGCTGGTGCTGAAGACTGCGCCGCCGTCGACCTTTGGCCAAGCCGTTATGAAAAAAATGGTATCCATCTTCTACAAAGGGAAGCTGTAGGAAGTTTGGAAAGGTAGATGTTAAAGATGGTCATTCCAAACACCTATGGTCTAATTCTTATCAATTATGAGTAGGCAAAATGAAGCTCCAGAGTCACATGCACTGCTGGCTGTTTTCGTGACCTTGACTCCAGCAGCCGTTTGGTCATTAGTGTTTAGTAGCTTCACACCAACTCTGGCTTATGGTAACTCTGAAATGCTTATGGCATTTTGCTGGCAAGATTTATTCAGAGGGCATTCGCTGTTGCGTTCACAGAATCATAGAATCCCAGTTTACCTGTCCGAACGGATTCTCCCCTATGAACCATCAAGGTTGTTGAGATCTTCTTGAGGGGCCCTGCTCTCGGTCCCACCACCCTCGCAATCGCGTTTGGTGGGGACGAGGGACAGGGCCTTCTCGGTGGTGGCCCCTCAGCTATGAAACTCTCTCCCACTGGAGATTAGATCTGCCCCTTCTCTCCTGACTTTCAGAAAGCTGGTAAAATCTTGGCTTTGGAATATAGCATTTGCAGAATGATGATCGAGTCAATAACTGCTGACCACATTGGCGGATGGTGATGAATTTGTGATTTTACTTCGACAACCTGGCTTTTTGTAATTGTATGATCTGTAATTTAATGTATTAATGTATTACAATGCTATTATGTTTATCCTACTTGTGTATGAATTTCCTGTTGTTAGCCGGCCTGAGTCCCTCTTCGGAGGTCGGGAAGATCGGGTTATAAAAGCTCTAAATAAATAAATAAATAAATAAATAAATAAATAAATAAATAAATAAATAAAATAGAGTTGGAAGAGAACCCCTGGGCCATCCAGTCCAACCCCTTGCCAAGAAGCGGGAAAATCGCATTCAAAGAACCCCCATTCAAAGTTTTTAGAGGTTGAGAGAGTTACGCTTGCCTAAAGTTGCCAACCAACCTCCCCATGGCTGAATAGGATCTGGTTTCACAACATGGTTTCCCGGCATATTTTTTATTATTTAAGAAAGCAGTTTTTCCATGTTTCTCACACTGGGAAATTATGTAAATTAGATATGCTGTCTGTATTTCACATAACAGATATTTCTCTGTCTGTCTCACTAGAAAAAAATCAATGTATTTCTTCTGAACCAGTCTTCTACATCTTTTCCCTTTTTGTGTTTGAAGACAGGCTCTGCGGGAGAGATTCAGACAGACTCCTAACATTGTGATAGATATTCTGTCTATGCTGTTACAGGGGATTTTCAATTGTGCCGCAGATCTCTCTGCTTTTCCTAGCTCAGAATAATGCATATCCATCTGGTCAATTACTCATTTTCAGATCCATTTGTATTATCCAACTATCTTCTGTCCAATAAGAGCAACCACAACAACAATAAAGATTATGACCCAATCTGGCCAGTTCCTAATGGAATCCTCCGATTTTTGATACACAATGAAAAATGTGAAAGAACAGGGTGTAATGCAATTGTTTGTTCCTCTGCCAGATGATTAACACTGAAAAATGCTTTGCCGTGTCCCCTGGGCCTCGGTAAAAAGCCACAGAAGCCATTTAAGTATCTCTGTTTGTTTGTTTGTTTACTAGCTTTTGGATAGTGTCCTGCAGTTCCTTTGAAAGCTGGAGTTCTTATCCATTAGATAATATGTAATTTCAAAACATACATGATGGGCCCTCTCCCACCTCTCTCTCTGTATGTCTCTATATATGTGTGTTTGTGAGATATATATATATATATATACACACACACACACACACACACATACACACACATATATATGTTATGTAATGTAATGTAATGTAATGTAATGTTTGTGGGATTAACAGAACTCAAAAAACACTGCGGGAATTGACACCAAATTTGGACAGCATACACCTAACAACCCAATGTATGTCCTTCACTCCAAAAAATTGAGTTTGTCATTTAGGAGTTGTAGTTGCTGGGATTTATTGTAGTTGCTGGGATTTATAGATTTATCAGCTACAATCAAAGAGCATTTTGAACTCAACCAATGATGGAATTGAACCAATCTTGGCAGATAGGACTCCCATGAACAACAGAAAACACTAGGAGGGATTGGTGGGCATTGACCTTGTGTTTGGGAGTTGTAGTTCACCTACATCCAGAGAGCACTGTGGACTCAAACAATGATGGATCTGGACCAAACTTGGCACAAATATTCCATATGCCCAAATATGAACACAGATGGAGTTTGGGGGAAATAGACCTTGACATTTGGGAGTTGTAGTTACTGGGATTTATAGTTCACCTACAATCAAAGAGCATGCTGAACCCCACGAACGATAGAATTGGGGCAAACTTTCCACACAGAACCCCCATGACCAACAGAAAATACTTAAGGCCACCCAATTGCCTTCACGAGGGCAAGAAAATGTAATCAAAGCCCTCCTGACAAAGAGTCCTCCAGTCATAGATATAGATAGATATAGATAGATAGATAGATAGATAGATAGATAGATAGATAGATAGATAGATATAGAATAGAACAGGTATGGGCAAACCCAGGCTCGGGGCTCACAGATTTGAAAGGGACCCCTAAAGAAGGACAATATGTTGCATGTTCCAGAGTAGGCAAACCAGACAATCTCCACATCAACACTGACAAAGAAACAACAAGAAATACTGTTTACCCACAAGCATAAAGAAATTACATATATTAGAAACCAAATGCTTTCTCATTACTTCATTTTCCAGATCACTAGACTGGGCCACAGCAATGTGTGGCAGAAGATGGCTAGTCTATACAAAATATAAATGTAATGTTCGTTTGTGGGATTAGCATAACTCAAAAACCACTGGGTGAATTGCCGCTAAATTTGGCCACAAGACACCTACTAACCCAAGGAGTGACTGTCATGAAATCTACCTTTCAGTCGACTAGGCCGAAGCCTGCATGACAGTGACTGTCATCTTGGAAGGCAGGCAGGACAGGAGGAGGAGTCAAGCCGACTCCTGATTGGGTATAGCAATTGGGGGAGGAGTCGGTTGAGAGAGGGAAATAAGCTGTCAGCTTTTGACAGAGGGAGAGAAGTGTTTTGACAAGGGAGAGAGAAGGAAGGGATTTTTAGGAGAGGAAGCTAGATAGAGCAGGGATCTGACAGAAAAGGAAGAGCTTTTAGTGAGCCTTAAGTTTAGGGAATAGGCTGAGACAAAGGCTAGGATTTTACTGTGTTCTGAGAGCCAGTAAAAGAAAGATTTATCTCCTTATACTTGGGATAGTATAAGGGAGCTTACTGCCCTGTGGTGGAAACAGATAGGAGTCTGTTCTCCAGTTGACACTGTTTCTAAGGATAGAGCAGTGTGTTTTAGGGAACTCACAATTTTAAAAGCTTTTCTGTCAGGGGAACTATTTGTTTAAGTAACCAAGTTTCTGCAACTGAATCACGCTTCTGTACCACTCATTTCTATGAGTTGTTGTTAATATAAAAGTTCAATAAACCATTCTTAGTTTACTTTTAACTGGTGTATGCCTCAGTCTATTAATAGCTTCAGAACTCATTCTGTCAAACCATTTTAAAGTCCAGTCAGCCAGTGAGGAAGCCATAGAAGAACAAAGGCACAAACACCCCTTACCTAAAACACATTCACACCTTTGGTTCCTCAGGCCAATAGAAGCTGAGGTGGTGGCAGTAATACCCAACAAGGACATTCGGTCACTTGTATATATAACATATGCTCAGCCCCTAAATTGTATTACAGTGACCATCACTCAAAAAATGGATTTTGTCATTTCGGAGTTGTAGTTGTTGCAATTTATAGTTTACTTACAATCAAAGAGCATTATGGACTTTACCAATGATGGAATTAAACCAAATGTGGCACACAGGACTCCCGTGACCAACTTTGGTTTTCTCGATGTTCAATGACAGGCCCAGCTTCTCGTATGCTTCTGCGAAGTTGTTTAGAGTGGCTTGTAGGTCTTCTTCTGAATGTGCACAGATGACGTTGTCAACAGCATATTGGAGTTCTATAACAGATGTTGTTGTAACCTTGGTTTTGGCTTTCAGTCTGCTGAGGTTAAATAGCTTGCCATCTGTCCGATAGATGAAGATGGAGAATAGGGTTGGGGTAATAACACATCCCTGTTTGATACCTGATTCCACTTTAAATGGGTCACTTTAGTAGCCATTGTTGTCCAAGACAGTTGCCACCATGTCATCATAGAGGAGTCACGGGATATTCACGAATTTATTAGGGCACCCAATTTTTTGGAGGATGTTCCAGAGAGCACTGTGATTCACTGTGTTGAATGCCTTTGCAAGGTCAATGAATGCCATGTACAGATGTTGATTTGGTTCCCTGCATTTTTCTTGGAGCTGTTGTGCAATGGAGATCATGTCCTCTGGAGTCCTGGAATCCCTAAGGATTGTTATGAAGATATCATTGGAAAGGAAGAGTGGAATTTCAGATATTATACTAAACTCCATAGATACAATTTTTTGGATATAGCAAAGGCTGGTAGCTCCAACACCAGCATGGCAGTGGATCTTTAGATATATGTGAAGAAGTCCCTATTTATTGTAATTACTAGTGGCTCCTGGGCTATTTTCCACTTGAAAACTGACCTGAAAGTATTCTTACTTACTTCTTACTTAGGCGATCCCTCGCTGGATGAGTAAGATGGTCTTCCATTATGGGTTTCCTTGTGAGTCCACATGTGGCTGTGGAGCTCTATTCTTGCTCTGCATCTTCTTCCGCAGTGAGGGCATTGGTTTCCAGGTGGAAGGCGGTCCCGGTTGGGGTTGGCTTGACGCGCCTTCCTCCTGGCACATTTCTCTCTTTCACCCTCCACTTGTGCCTCCTCAAATTCTTCAGCACTGCTGGTCACAGCTGACCTCCAGCTGGAGCGCTCAAGGGCCAGGGCTTCCCAGTTCTCAGTGTCTATGCCAGAGTTTTTAAGGTTGGCTTTGAGACCATCTTTAAATCTCTTTTCCTGTCCACCAACATTCCGTTTTCCGTTCTTAAGTTCGGAGTAGAGCAACTGCTTTGGGAGACGG